GTGATCGACAGCTGTAGCCACCAATGGTGGCGTGGGTAGGGTGGCGTGCGCCCCCTACCCGGAAATACAAAATCATGTATATATACGTGATTTTGCACAACCCTGCCGCCTGTAGCAGTAGGCGGCTGACATGTGCGGCGACGGAGCGGGGATGTCTGGGAAGGCGCGCAGACAAGGCGCGCTGACCCATAATGCATGCCTCAACTACATGTGATCGCATCAGCCTATCAGCAGCCAGCCAGCCAGCACTGTGTAATGGTCGAGCTATAAATAGCGGCCATTTTGGAATTCTTCATTTGCCTGCAGTTATTGAACAGAGGCAGACCGCTCTGTACTAGGGACAGGGACAGAGTTAGGGCCACAGAAACGATAATTGGGGACAGAGAAAAGTTACTTAGGGACAGAGAACCATTACTCAGGGACACAGACTTGTTAATGAGGGCCACAGAATCGTTATTTAGGGACAAAGAAACGCTAGTTAGGGCCACAGAATTCATAATCAGGGACAGACAGAATTGTTACTCAGTGCCAGAGAATTGTTACTTAGGGCCACAGAAACGTTATTAGGGCCACAGAATTGTTACTCAGGGACAGACAGAATTGTTACTGAGTGCCAGAGAATTGTTACTCAGGGACAGACAGAATTGTTACTGAGTGCCAGAGAATTGTTACTTAGGGCCACAGAAACTTTAATTAGGGCCACAGAATTTTTACTCAGGGACAGACAGAATTGTTACTCAGTGCCAGAGAATTGTTACTCAGGGACAGACAGAATTGTTACTGAGTGCCAGAGAATTGTTACTCAGGGCCACAGAAACTTTACTTAGGGCCACAGAATTTTTACTCAGGGACAGACAGAATTGTTACTGAGTGCCAGAGAATTGTTACTCAGGGACAGACAGAATTGTTACTGAGTGCCAGAGAATTGTTACTTAGGGCCACAGAAACTTTACTTAGGGCCACAGAATTGTTTACGCACGCACAGACACAGATTGTTACTCGCACAGACACAGAATTGTTACTGAAGGCCACAGAACTGTTACTTAGGGCCACAGAATTGTTACTCGCACAGACACAGAATTGTTACTCGCACAGACACAGAACTGTTACTGAGGGCCACAGAACTGTTACTTAGGGACAAAGAAACGCTAGTTAGGGCCACAGAATTGTTACTCAGGGACAGACAGAATTGTTGTTACTGAGTGCCAGAGAATTGTTACTCAGGGACAGACAGAATTGTTACTGAGTGCCAGAGAATTGTTACTTAGGGCCACAGAAACTTTAATTAGGGCCACAGAATTTTTACTCAGGGACAGACAGAATTGTTACTCAGTGCCAGAGAATTGTTACTCAGGGACAGACAGAATTGTTACTGAGTGCCAGAGAATTGTTACTCAGGGCCACAGAAACTTTACTTAGGGCCACAGAATTTTTACTCAGGGACAGACAGAATTGTTACTGAGTGCCAGAGAATTGTTACTCAGGGACAGACAGAATTGTTACTGAGTGCCAGAGAATTGTTACTTAGGGCCACAGAAACTTTACTTAGGGCCACAGAATTGTTACTCGCACAGACACAGAATTGTTACTAGTCGCACAGACACAGAATTGTTACTGAAGGCCACAGAACTGTTACTTAGGGCCACAGAATTGTTACTCGCACAGACACAGAATTGTTACTCGCACAGACACAGAACTGTTACTGAGGGCCACAGAACTGTTACTTAGGGCCACAGAAAGAAACGCTAGTTTAGGGCCACAGAATTGTTACTCAGGGACAGACAGAATTGTTGTTACTGAGTGCCAGAGAATTGTTACTCAGGGACAGACAGAATTGTTACTGAGTGCCAGAGAATTGTTACTTAGGGCCACAGAAACTTTAATTAGGGCCACAGAATTTTTACTCAGGGACAGACAGAATTGTTTACTGAGTGCCAGAGAATTGTTACTCAGGGACAGACAGAATTGTTACTGAGTGCCAGAGAATTGTTACTCAGGGCCACAGAAACTTTACTTAGGGCCACAGAATTTTTACTCAGGGACAGACAGAATTGTTACTGAGTGCCAGAGAATTGTTACTCAGGGACAGACAGAATTGTTACTGAGAGTGCCAGAGAATTGTTACTTAGGGCCACAGAAACTTTACTTAGGGCCACAGAATTGTTACTCAGGCACAGACACAGAAATTGTTACTTTACTCGCACAGACACAGAATTGTTACTGAGGGCAGACAGAATTGTTACTTAGGCCACAGAATTGTTACTACTCGCACAGACACAGAATTGTTACTCGCAGTGCACACAGAATTGTTACTGAGGGCCACAGAACTGTTACTTAGGGCCACAGAATTTTTACTCAACAGACAGAATTGTTACTGAGGCCACAGAATTGTTACTCAGGGACAGACAGAATTGTTTACTGAGTGCCAGAGAATTGTTACTCAGGGACAACAGAATTGTTTACTGAGAATTGTGCCAGAGAATTGTTACTTAGGGCCACAGAAACTTTTTATTAGGGCCACAGAATTTTTACTCAGGGACAGACAGAATTGTTACTGAGTGCCAGAGAATTGTTACTCAGGGACAGACAGAATTGTTACTGAGTGCCAGAGAATTGTTACTCAGGGCCACAGAAACTTTACTTAGGGCCACAGAATTTTTACTCAGGGACAGACAGAATTGTTACTGAGTGCCAGAGAATTTTTACTCAGGGACAGACAGAATTGTTACCGAGTGCCAGAGAATTGTTACTCAGGGACAGACAGAATTGTTACTGAGTGCCAGAGAATTGTTACTTAGGGCCACAGAAACTTTAATTAGGGCCACAGAATTTTTACTCAGGGACAGACAGAATTGTTACTGAGTGCCAGAGAATTGTTACTCAGGGACAGACAGAATTGTTACTGAGTGCCAGAGAATTGTTACTTAGGGCCACAGAAACTTTATTAGGGCCACAGAATTTTTACTCAGGGACAGACAGAATTGTTACTGAGTGCCAGAGAATTGTTACTCAGGGACAGACAGAATTGTTACGAGTGCCAGAGAATTGTTACTCAGGGACAGACAGAATTGTTACTGAGTGCCAGAGAATTGTTACTTAGGGCCACAGAAACTTTAATTAGGGCCACAGAATTTTTACTCAGGGACAGACAGAATTGTTACTGAGTGCCAGAGAATTGTTACTCAGGGACAGACAGAATTGTTACTGAGTGCCAGAGAATTGTTACTCAGGGCCACAGAAATTGTTACTTAGGGCCAGAGAATTTTTACTCAGGACAGACAGAATTGTTACTGAGTGCCAGAGAATTGTTACTCAGGGACAGACAGAATTGTTACGGAGTGCCAGAGAATTGTTACTCATTGGGCCACAGAATTGTTACTTTAATTAGGGCCACAGAATTTTTACTCAGGGACAGACAGAATTTTTACAGAATTGTTACTGAGTGCCAGAGAATTGTTTACTCAGGGACAGACAGAATTGTTACTGAGTGCCAGAGAATTGTTACTCAGGGACAGACAGAATTGTTACTGAGTGCCAGAGAAGAATTGTTACTCAGGGCCCCAGAAACTTTACTTAGGGCCACAGAATTTTTACTCAGGGACAGACAGAATTGTTACTGAGTGCCAGAGAATTGTTACTCAGGGACAGACAGAATTGTTACTGAGTGCCAGAGAATTGTTACTCAGGGCCACAGAAACTTTAATTAGGGCCACAGAATTTTTTACTCAGGGACAGACAGAATTGTTACTGAGTGCCAGAGAATTGTTACTCAGGGACAGACAGAATTGTTTACGGAGTGCCAGAGAATTGTTACTCAGGGACAGACAGAATTGTTACTGAGTGCCAGAGAATTGTTACTTAGGGCCACAGAAACTTTACTTAGGGCCACAGAATTTTTACTCAGGGACAGACAGAATTGTTACTGAGTGCCAGAGAATTGTTACTCTGAGGGACAGAATTGTTACTCAGGGACAGAATTGTTACGGAGTGCCAGAGAATTGTTACTCAGGGCCACAGAAACTTTACTTAGGGCCACAGAATTTTTACTCAGGGACAGACAGAATTGTTTACTGAGTGCCAGAGAATTGTTACTCAGGGACAGACAGAATTGTTTACGGAGTGCCAGAGAATTGTTACTCAGGGCCCAGAAACTTTACTTAGGGCCACAGAATTTTTACTCAGGGACAGACAGAATTGTTACTGAGTGCCAGAGAATTGTTACTACTCAGGGACAGACAGAATTGTTACTGAGAGTGCCAGAGAATTGTTACTCAGGGACAGACAGAATTGTTACTGAGTGCCAGAGAATTTTTACTCAGGGACAGACAGAAACTTTACTTGAGGGCCACAGAATTTTTACTCAGGGACAGACAGAAATTGTTACTGAGTGCCAGAGAATTGTTACTCAGGGACAGACAGAATTGTTACTGAGTGCCAGAGAATTGTTACTCAGGGCCACAGAAACTTTAATTAGGGCCACAGAATTTTTACTCAGGGACAGACAGAATTGTTACTGAGTGCCAGAGAATTGTTACTCAGGGACAGACAGAATTGTGTTACTGGAGTGCCAGAGAATTGTTACTCAGGGCCACAGAAACTTTAGACAGAATTTTTACTCAGGGACAGACAGAATTGTTACTGAGTGCCAGAGAATTGTTACTCAGGGACAGACAGACAGAATTGTTACGGAGTGCCAGATAATTGTTACTCAGGGCCAGACAGAAACTTTACTTAGGGCCACAGAATTTTTACTCAGGGACAGACAGAATTGTTACTGAGTGCCAGAGAATTGTTACTCAGGGACAGACAGAATTGTTACTGAGTGCCAGAGAATTGTTACTTAGGGCCACAGAAACTTTACTTAGGGCCACAGAATTTTTTACTCGCACAGGGACAGACAGAATTGTTACTCGCAGTGACACAGAATTGTTACTGAGGGCCACAGAACTGTTACTTGGGGCCACAGAAACGTTAATCAGGGACCACAGAATTGTTACTGAGGGCCACAGAACTGTTACTTAGGGCCACAGAATTGTTACTCGCACAGACACAGAATTGTTACTCAGGGACACAGAATTTGTTACTCAGGGACACATAATCGTTTAATTAAAGAGTATGTCAGACAACATGCAGAGATTGGCAGAGGAGGCAATGTTTTAGGAGCAGAGCAACGTGGCAGCAGAGGAAGGGGTCGAGGCAGCACTATTCGCAGCCAGAGGCCAGTGCTCCCGGTGTCATACTCAGGGTCACAGAAACTTTACTCCAGGGCCACAGAACCCTGCCGACGTCGAATTGTTTGGCTCCAGAGAATCTTTCTTCCCAGGTCACCTCTGACAGAACAGCCAACGGTCGGTGGGTACGTCAGACACAACCGTTAGTTGGCATGGCCCGGGACCAAGCCCACTGAAATCACGTGTCCTCTACCTGCCCCTGTCCTTTGGTGTTCTGAGTGCCAGAGAATTGTTACTCACCAAGCGAAGTATCGCATGCTGTGGGCTCAGCCCCACTGTACAGTGGGCCACAGAAGAGCTAACAGAGGGCGGTCAGGAACGGGGGGAGACATTGTTTTTCAGCAGCCAGGCGAAGAAGTAGTGGCGAGGACAGTGAACGGTAGCCACTAGAGACAGGTTGTCTCCTGACCAGACAGACGCAGCCGAGGGGGCTAGTAGTGACAGGAGACCCAGGGACTTGATGATGAGGAGGGCCACAGAATCGTTACTTGGCAGCCTCGTCGTCATCAGGCAATTTCTTCCGCATCATCAGGAGAAGAAGGGTGGCAGCTTGGCAGCGAGCAAAACAGTCGGAATTGTTACCCAGAGACAGACAGCAGTTACAGGGGCGCACAGCACTGTCAGTGGAGCCAAAGGCCACGAGGAGTAGAGCACCAGCTCCACTGCAGCCTACCACCACGGCCAGTAGTGGTGCCGGTGTGCACGGAGGAAGCAGCAGTCAGCCAGTGAGGAGTATCGGGGGCAAAGTTTCCTACTCGGCGGTGTGGCAATTTTTCGTCAAGACCCGCCCGAGGAAGTAAACGTAGCCGTATGTCGACTATGTGGCCAGAAAGTCAAGCGTGGCCAGGGGGCCCATGTTGGGACTACAGCCATGTCGGCAGCAATGGGTACGTCAGCCATTTAGTTGGCTGGCCCGTGACCAAGCCCACTGAAATGCCACTTTCAGTCCCCCTACCTGCCCCTGTCCGTTGGTTTCCCCTCACCAAGCGCCGTATCGCATGCTGTGGGCTCAGCCCCACTGTACACCTCTGAAGAGCTAACAGAGGCATCGGGATCAGGAACGGGGGTCAGACATCCGCCTTTTCAGCTACTGCTTGCAGGCGGGACCAAGCCCAAGTAGTGGGCGAGGAGAGTGACTCCGGTAGTCCCGGTCCAAGAGACAGGTCTGCATCTCCTGGACTCAGCCCCACTGTACAGTAGGGAGGCCTAGACCCTACTTGATGATGAGGCCAGGAACGGGGGGAGACACCAGCCTTTTCAGCATGCAGTCGATGTTGCAGCCGAGATTGGCGAAGGGTAGGCAGTCTTGGCAGGTCCTGTTTCCGGGGAAAATTTCTTTCGTAGCCGGCACTCGGCATCAGAGAGGGTCCAGCTTGTCAGCTGAGCAAAACAGTCGGTGGGGTTGCCCAGGAGACAGCAGCAGGGTCCCAGTTGAGATGTCAGTAGGCCCCAAACGCCTCATGGCGGAGTAGAGCACCAGCTCCACTGCCTTTCTTCCGCCACCACCACGCAGCCAGTGTGGTGCCGGTGTGCACGGAGGAAGCTTGCAGTCAGCCAGTGAGGAGTATCGGGGGCAAAGTTTTTGCCAAACGGGCGCAGTGTGGCAATTTTTCTCCCTGCAGCTGCTGCCGCCCGAGGAAGTAAACGTAGCCGTATGTGCCGGTGTGTGGCCAGAAAGTCAGCAGCGGGCCAGCCATGTTGGGGAGTATCGCGGCGGCAAAGTTGCGACTCGCCTGTTGTGGCAATTTTTTCGTCAGCCGGCAGCCTCCCAAACGTAGCCGTATGTCGACTATGTGGCCAGAAAGTCAAGCGTGGCCAGGGGGCCCATGTTGACACAGCAGGCAGCACTTGCGGCGTCGCCATTCGGCGGTTCTGCCCGCCCCAGCCCCCGCTCCATCACCCGCTCCGTTACTACTTGCTCCGTCACCCCGACGTCAATCGCCCTCCATCAGCCAGCCAGTCAAGGCTCCAACACCTCTGCTGAGGGGAGTTGTCCGCTCTCGTTGGCATCTTCCGCTCGTTTCAGATGCTCCTCCTCCTGCTACTCCTCTTCACGGATTCCGTCAGCAGTCTTTCTTGGAATCCGTTTCCAAGAGACAACAGTTTTTGCGAGCACGCACCCGACGGTGCAAAAGCTGAACGTCCTCCTGTCCAAGTTGCTGGTGCTGCAGTCCCTCCCTTTCCAAGTGGTGGACTCAGCACCTTTCAGAGAAATGATGGCTTGTGTGCCCGCGCCGCGGTGGAGAGTGCCAAGCCGTCATTTCTTCGCCAAAAAGGCAGTGCCAGCCCTGCATTCACATGTAGAAGACATGGTGGCCAGTCTTTGAGCATGTCGGTCTCTGCCAAAGTGCACGGCAGCGCCGACGTGTGGAGCTGTAACTACGGTCAGGGACAGTACATGTCATTTTACGGCCCACTGGGTGAACGTGGTGCCGTCACAGCCGCACCAGCAACTTGGACAGGTCACGCCGCTTTTGCCTCCACGTTTGCACGTCCTTGGTCCGGCAAAGATGTCCGCCTCTACCACCTCTTCTTCCGCCGTGTCCTCAGCCGCCACCCCCCGTGCCAAGTCCCATTACCCGACCGGCATATCACATGTGCAGGGCGCAACGGTGTCACGCTGTTCTGCACCTGGTATGCCCTTGGCGAACGTAGTCACACAGGGGAGGAACTTCTGAGTGTAATGAACAGAGAAATCGACAGATGGCTGTCTCCGCGCAAACTGAAAATCGGAACCATGTTGACCGACAACGGAAAGAACATGGTGTGTCTGCTCTGCGTCAAGGAAGGTTGTGCCAATGCGCCATGCATGGCTCACGTGTTCAATCTGGTTGTCAAGCGGTTCTTAAAATCCACCATCCCACTGCAAGACATCCTTAAAATGTCACGTAAACTTTGCATGCATTTCAGCCATTCCTACACCGCAAAGCACACCCCTCTTGAGCTGCAGCGGCAGAACGGAATTCCACAGCATCGCCTGATCTCTGCGACGTTGCAACAAGGTGGAATTTCAACCCTACACATGTTAGACCGCCTTTACGAACAGCGAAAGGCCATCACCGATTTCCTGATGTTACAAGCGGATAAAGGTACTCCCCTGTGTAACTTAGATGTCAGCCATTGGCAGCTCATGCGTGACACCTGCCGCTTGCTCAGGCCCTTTGAGGAGGCCACGCTATTCGTGAGTCGGCAGGACTATGGGATGAACGACGTCATTCCTCTGTTGCACGTCCTTGAACAAATGCTGTTAACAATGGCTGGTCAGGGTGCGGTAGACGTGGCGCACAGATCTCAACGCCACATGACCCCTGTGGGGGCAGGACAGGAAGAAGAGGAGGAGGTAGAGGAGGACATTTGTGCTCAGGAATTATTGAGTGAAATGGGTGGTTTTTTTCCACTCAGCGGACAGGAGTGGAGGAGCAGGAGCATCTGGTAGAGGAGGAGGAGGAGGAGACAGAGGACCCAGACGCACCGTGGCAGTATGCTGTGGAGATGGAGGCAGGGAGTCCCTCGCATTCCTTGGCACAAATGGCCCATAGCATGCTCGTTGCTTGCTTGCGTAGCGACAGCCGAATAATAACCATCAGACAGAGGGATGACTTTTGGCTGTCCACCTTGTTGGACCCTCGCTACCGTTCCAAAATGGTGGCCTTTTTCACACCTGCTGAGAGGGAGGCCAAAATAACGTACTATAAAAACCACCTATGTAGTCAGTTGGTCTCTGCCTTTGTGCGCCAACGTCCATCCTCAGACACTGTGGGCCCTGTGCGCTCGCGTTCCGCTGCCATGGCCATGGCAGCAGGGGAGGGGTGGGGTGGTAGGAGCAGTGGCAGCTCCACCAGCAGCAGCTGCCTCAGTCTGCAGTCGATGATGAGTAGCTTTCTTCACCAGCGCAGTGAGGAAACTACTAACCAGCCGCAGCAGCAGCAGCAGCATCAGGTGGACCTGGAGCAGGACCTCAAACAACAGGCTTGGGCCTACTTGGACAGCACCCTGCCAACCGAGGTAGACAATCCCCTTGACTACTGGGCAACGAAACTTGACCTTTGGCCCCAACTAGCTGAATTTGCCCTTGAAAGGCTGTCATGCCCAGCCAGTAGCGTGGCATCGGAGCGCGTGTTTAGTGCGGCAGGAGGTATTGTAACTCCGCGGAGGACACGACTGTCCACCCAAAGTGTGGAGAGACTCACGTTTGTGAAAATGAATCAGGCGTGGATTAGTCTGGATTTCAAACCACCAGTTCCTGACACAACTGACTAAATCCGCCATGAATCATGCCTCAAACATGTGCCTTGAGGTCTCCTCACACACTGCTGTGTGTGTGTAGATTTTTTTGACATAGGGTGCTGGCAGATTATGGGCCTCCTATAGCTGCTGCCAGGCCCCTAATCTGCCATAGGCCCCTATATACCGCCTCCTCATGCTGCTGCCAGGTCCAGAGTCTCTCATGGGTCCCTGTACGGCCTCCCATTGCTGCTGTCTCCATCGCCACACTCTGCCATGTGCCACTTTCAGGTCTCCTCACACACTGCTGGTGTGTAGAATTTTTTGACATAGGGTGCTGGCAGATTATGGGCCTCCCATAGCTGCTGCCAGGCCCCTAATCTGCCATAGGCCCCTATATACCGCCTCCTCATGCTGCTGCCAGGTCCAGAGTCTGTCATGGGTCCCTGTACGGCCTCCCATTGCTGCTGTCTGTCTCCATCGCCACACTCTGCCATGTGCCACTTTCAGGTCTCCTCACACACTGCTGGTGTGTAGAATTTTTTGACATAGGGTGCTGGCAGATTACGGGCCTCCCATAGCTGCTGCCAGGCCCCTAATCTGCCATAGGCCCCTATATACCGCCTCCTCATGCTGCTGCCAGGTCCAGAGTCTCTCATGGGTCCCTGTACGGCCTCCCATTGCTGCTGTCTCCATCGCCACACTCTGCCATGTGCCACTTTCAGGTCTCCTCACACACTGCTGGTGTGTAGAATTTTTTGACATAGGGTGCTGGCAGATTACGGGCCTCCCATAGCTGCTGCCAGGCCCCTAATCTGCCATAGGCCCCTATATACCGCCTCCTCATGCCTCCTCATGCTGCTGCCAGGTCCAGAGTCTCTCATGGGTCCCTGTACGGCCTCCCATTGCTGCTGTCTCCATCGCCACACTCTCTGCCATGTGCCACTTTCAGGTCTCCTCACACTGCTGGTGTGTAGAATTTTTTGACATAGGGTGCTGGCAGATTACGGGCCTCCCATAGCTGCTGCCAGGCCCCTAATCTGCCATAGGCCCCTATATACCGCCTCCTCATGCTGCTGCCAGGTCCAGAGTCTGTCATGGGTCCCTGTACGGCCTCCCATTGCTGCTGTCTCCATCGCCACACTCTGCCATGTGCCACTTTCAGGTCTCCTCACACACTGCTGGTGTGTAGAATTTTTTGACATAGGGTGCTGGCAGATTACGGGCCTCCCATAGCTGCTGCCAGGCCCCTAATCTGCCATAGGCCCCTATATACCGCCTCCTCATGCTGCTGCCAGGTCCAGAGTCTCTCATGGGTCCCTGTACGGCCTCCCATTGCTGCTGTCTCCATCGCCGCCACACTCTGCCATGTGCCACTTTCAGGTCTCCTCACACACTGCTGGTGTGTAGAATTTTTTTGACATAGGGTGCTGCAGCAGATTACGGGCCTCCCATAGCTGCTGCTGCCAGGCCCCTAATCTGCCATAGGCCCCTATATACCGCCTCCTCATGCTGCTGCAGGTCCAGAGTCTCTCATGGGTCCCTGTACGGCCTCCCATTGCTGCTGTCTCCATCGCCACACACACTCTGCCATGTGCCACTTTCAGGTCTCCTCACACACTGCTGGTGTGTAGAATTTTTTGACATAGGGTGCTGGCAGATTTACGGGCCTCCCATAGCTGCTGCCAGGCCCCTAATCTGCCATAGGCCCCTATATACGCCTCCTCATGCTGCTGCTCCTCGTCCCGCCTCCTCTTTCAGGTCTCCTCCTCATTTTTTGCTGCTGCCAGGTCCAGAGTCTCTCATGGGTCCCTGTACGGCCTCCCATTGCTGCTGTCTCCATCGCCACACACACTCTGCCATGTGCCACTTTCAGGTCTCCTCACACACTGCTGTGTGTGTAGAATTTTTTGACATAGGGTGCTGGCAGATTATGGGCCTCCCATAGCTGCTGCCAGGCCCCTAATCTGCCATAGGCCCCTATATACCGCCTCCTCATGCTGCTGCCAGGTCCAGAGTCTGTCATGGGTCCCTGTACGGCCTCCCATTGCTGCTGTCTCCATCGCCACACTCTGCCATGTGCCACTTTCCTCACACACTGCTGGTGTGTAGAATTTTTTGACATAGGGTGCTGGCAGATTATGGGCCTCCCATAGCTGCTGCCAGGCCCCTAATCTGCCATAGGCCCCTATATACCGCCTCCTCATGCTGCTGCCAGGTCCAGAGTCTCTCATGGGTCCCTGTACGGCCTCCCCCATTGCTGCTGCTGTCTCCATCGCCACACTCTGCCATGTGCCACTTTCAGGTCTCCTCCACACACTGCTGGTGTGTAGAATTTTTTGACATAGGGTGCTGGCAGATTACGGGCCTCCCATAGCTGCTGCCAGGCCCCTAATCTGCCATAGGCCCCTATATACCGCCTCCTCATGCTGCTGCCAGGTCCAGAGTCTCTCATGGGTCCCTGTACGGCCTCCCATTGCTGCTGTCTCCATCGCCACACTCTGCCATGTGCCACTTTCAGGTCTCTCACACACACTGCTGGTGTGTAGAATTTTTTGACATAGGGTGCTGGCAGATTACGGGCCTCCCATAGCTGCTGCCAGGCCCCTAATCTGCCATAGGCCCCTATACCGCCTCCTCATGCTGCTGCCAGGTCCAGAGTCTGTCATGGGTCCCTGTACGGCCTCCCATTGCTGCTGTCTCCATCGCCACACTCTGCCATGTGCCACTTTCAGGTCTCCTCACACACTGCTGGTGTGTAGAATTTTTTGACATAGGGTGCTGGCAGATTACGGGCCTCCCCATAGCTGCTGCCAGGCCCCTAATCTGCCATAGGCCCCTATATACCGCCTCCTCATGCTGCTGCTGCCAGGTCCAGAGTCTGTCATGGGTCCCTGTACGGCCTCCCCCATTGCTGCTGTCTCCATCGCCACACTCTGCCATGTGCCACTTTCAGGTCTCCTCACACACTGCTGGTGTGTAGAATTTTTTGACATAGGGTGCTGGCAGATTATGGGCCTCCTATAGCTGCTGCCAGGCCCCTAATCTGCCATAGGCCCCTATATACCGCCTCCCTCCTCATGCTCCTCATGCTGCTGCCAGGTCCAGAGTCTCTCATGGGTCCCTGTACGGCCTCCCATTGCTGCTGTCTCCATCGCCACACTCTGCCATGTGCCACTTTCAGGTCTCCTCACACACTGCTGGTGTGTAGAATTTTTTGACATAGGGTGCTGGCAGATTATGGGCCCCCTAATATAGCTGCTGCCAGGCCCCTAATCTGCCATAGGCCCCTATATACCGCCTCCTCCTCATGCTGCTGCCAGGTCCAGAGTCTCTCATGGGTCCCTGTACGGCCTCCCATTGCTGCTGTCTCCATCGCCACACTCTGCCATGTGCCACTTTCAGGTCTCCTCACACACTGCTGGTGTGTAGAATTTTTTGACATAGGGTGCTGGCAGATTACGGGCCTCCCATAGCTGCTGCCAGGCCCCTAATCTGCCATGGGCCCCTATATACGCCTCCTCCTCATGCTGCTGCCAGGTCCAGAGTCTGTCATGGGTCCCTGTACGGCCTCCCATTGCTGCTGTCTCCATCGCCACACTCTGCCATGTGCCACTTTCAGGTCTCCTCACACACTGCTGGTGTGTAGAATTTTTTGACATAGGGTGCTGGCAGATTACGGGCCTCCCATAGCTGCTGCCAGGCCCCTAATCTGCCATAGGCCCCCTATATACCGCCGCCTCCTCATGCTGCTGCCAGGTCCAGAGTCTCTCATGGGTCCCTGTACGGCCTCCCATTGCTGCTGTCTCCATCGCCACACTCTGCCATGTGCCACTTTCAGGTCTCCTCACACACTGCTGGTGTGTAGAAATTTTTTGACATAGGGTGCTGGCAGATTACGGGCCTCCCATAGCTGCTGCCAGGCCCCTAATCTGCCATAGGCCCCTATATACCCCCGCCTCCTCATGCTGCTGCCAGGTCCAGAGTCTGTCATGGGTCCCTGTACGGCCTCCATTGCTGCTGTCTCCTCCATCGCCTTTCACTCTCGCCACACTCTGCCATGTGCCACTTTCAGGTCTCCTCACACTGCTGGTGTGTAGAATTTTTTGACATAGGGTGCTGGCAGATTATGGGCCTCCATAGCTGCTGCCAGGCCCCTAATCTGCCATAGGCCCCTATATACCGCCTCCTCATGCTGCTGCCAGGTCCAGAGTCTGTCATGGGTCCCTGTACGGCCTCCCATTGCTGCTGTCTCCATCGCCACACTCTGCCATGTGCCACTTTCAGGTCTCCTCACACACTGCTGGTGTGTAGAATTTTTTGACATAGGGTGCTGGCAGATTACGGGCCTCCCATATAGCTGCTGCCAGGCCCCTAATCTGCCATAGGCCCCTATATACCGCCTCCTCATGCTGCTGCCAGGTCCAGAGTCTGTCATGGGTCCCTGTACGGCCTCCCATTGCTGCTGTCTCCATCGCCCACACTCTGCCATGTGCCACTTTCAGGTCTCTCTCACACACTGCTGGTGTGTAGAATTTTTTTTGACATAGGGTGCTGGCAGATTACGGGCCTCCCATAGCTGCTGCCAGGCCCCTAATCTGCCATAGGCCCCCCTATATACCGCCTCCTCATGCTGCTGCCAGGTCCAGAGTCTGTCATGGGTCCCTGTACGGCCTCCCATTGCTGCTGTCTCCATCGCCACACTCTGCCATGTGCCACTTTCAGGTCTCCTCACACACTGCTGGTGTGTAGAATTTTTTGACATAGGGTGCTGGCAGATTACGGGCCTCCCATAGCTGCTGCCAGGCCCCTAATCTGCCATAGGCCCCTATATACCGCCTCCTCATGCTGCTGCCAGGTCCAGAGTCTGTCATGGGTCCCTGTACGGCCTCCCATTGCTGCTGTCTCCATCGCCACACTCTGCCATGTGCCACTTTCAGGTCTCCTCACACACTGCTGGTGTGTAGAATTTTTTGACATAGGGTGCTGGCAGATTGGGGCCTCCCATAGCTGCTGCCAGGCCCCTAATCTGCCATAGGCCCCTATATACCGCCTCCTCATGCTGCTGCCAGGTCCAGAGTCTGTCATGGGTCCCTGTACGGCCTCCCATTGCTGCTGTCTCCATCGCCACACTCTGCCATGTGCCACTTTCAGGTCTCTCCTCACACTGCTGGTGTGTAGAATTTTTTGACATAGGGTGCTGGCAGATTATGGGCCTCCCATAGCTGCTGCCAGGCCCCTAATCTGCCATAGGCCCCTATATACCGCCTCCTCATGCTGCTGCCAGGTCCAGAGTCTGTCATGGGTCCCTGTACGGCCTCCCATTGCTGCTGTCTCCATCGCCACACTCTGCCATGTGCCACTTTCAGGTCTCCTCACACACTGCTGGTGTGTAGAATTTTTTGACATAGGGTGCTGGCAGATTATGGGCCTCCCATAGCTGCTGCCAGGCCCCTAATCTGCCATGCCCCATAGGCCCCTATATACCGCCTCCTCATGCTGCTGCCTGGTCCCCAGTCCAGAGTCCCACGGCCTCCCATTGCTGCTGTCTCCTCGCCATGCCACACTCTGTGCCACTTTCAGGTCTCCTCACACACACTGCTGGTGTGTAGAATTTTTTGACATAGGGTGCTGGCAGATTATGGGCCTCCCATAGCTGCTGCCAGGCCCCTAATCTGCCATAGGCCCCCCCTATATACCGCCTCCTCATGCTGCTGCCAGGTCCAGAGTCTGTCATGGGTCCCTGTACGGCCTCCCATTGCTGCTGTCTCCATCGCCACACTCTGCCATGTGCCACTTTCAGGTCTCCTCACACACTGCTGTGTGTGTAGAATTTTTTGACATAGGGTGCTGGCAGATTATGGGCCTCCCATAGCTGCTGCCAGGCCCCTAATCTGCCATAGGCCCCTATATACCGCCTCCTCTCTGCTGCTGCTGCCAGGTCCAGAGTCTCTCATGGGTCCCTGTACGGCCTCCCATTGCTGCTGTCTCCATCGCCACACTCTGCCATGTGCCACTTTCAGGTCTCCTCACACACTGCTGTGTGTGTGAGATTTTTGACATAGGGTGCTGGCAGATTATGGGGCCTCCCATAGCTGCTGCCAGGCCCCTAATCTGCCATAGGCCCCTATATACCGCCTCCTCATGCTGCTGCCAGGTCCAGAGTCTGTCATGGGTCCCTGTACGGCCTCCCATTGCTGCTGTCTCCATCGCCACACTCTGCCATGTGCCACTTTCAGGTCTCCTCACACACTGCTGTGTGTAGAATTTTTTGACATAGGGTGCTGGCAGATTATGGGCCTCCCATAGCTGCTGCCAGGCCCCTAATCTGCCATAGGCCCCTATATACCGCCTCCTCCTGCTGCTGCTGCCAGGTCCAGAGTCTGTCATGGGTCCCTGTACGGCCTCCCATTGCTGCTGTCCTCCATCGCCACACTCTGCCATGTGCCACTTTCAGGTCTCCTCACACACTGCTGGTGTGTAGAATTTTTTGACATAGGGTGCTGGCAGATTACGGGCCTCCCATAGCTGCTGCCAGGCCCCTAATCTGCCATGCCATAGGCCCCCCTATATACCCGCCTCCTCTGCTGCTGCCAGGTCCAGAGTCTGTCATGGGTCCCTGTACGGCCTCCCATTGCTGCTGTCTCCATCGCCACACTCTGCCATGTGCCACTTTCAGGTCTCACACACTGCTGGTGTGTAGAATTTTTTGACATAGGGTGCTGGCAGATTATGGGGGCCTCCCATAGCTGCTGCCAGGCCCCTAATCTGCCATAGGCCCCTATATACCGCCTCCTCATGCTGCTGCCAGGTCCAGAGTCTGTCATGGGTCCCTGTACGGCCTCCCATTGCTGCTGTCTCCATCGCCACACTCTGCCATGTGCCACTTTCAGGTCTCCTCACACACTGCTGGTGTGTAGAATTTTTTGACATAGGGTGCTGGCAGATTACGGGCCTCCCATAGCTGCTGCCAGGCCCCTAATCTGCCATAGGCCCCTATATACCCCCCTGCTCCTCATGCTGCTGTCCCAGGTCCAGCAGTCTGTCTCTCCATGTGCCTCCCATTGCTGCTGTCTCCATCGCCACACACTCTGCCTGTGCCACTTTCAGGTCTCCTCACACTGCTGGTGTGTAGAATTTTTTGACATAGGGTGCTGGCAGATTATGGGCCTCCCATAGCTGCTGCCAGGCCCCTAATCTGCCATAGGCCCCTATATACCGCCTCCTCATGCTGCTGCCAGGTCCAGAGTCTGTCATGGGTCCCTGTACGGCCTCCCCATTGCTGCTGTCTCCATCGCCACACTCTGCCATGTGCCACTTTCAGGTCTCCTCACACACTGCTGGTGTGTAGAATTTTTTGACATAGGGTGCTGGCAGATTACGGGCCTCCCATAGCTGCTGCCAGGCCCCTAATCTGCCATAGGCCCCTATATACCGCCTCCTCATGCTGCTGCCAGGTCCAGAGTCTCTCATGGGTCCCTGTACGGCCTCCCATTGCTGCTGTCTCCATCGCCACACTCTGCCATGTGCCACTTTCAGGTCTCCTCACACACTGCTGGTGTGTAGAATTTTTTGACATAGGGTGCTGGCAGATTACGGGCCTCCCATAGCTGCTGCCAGGCCCCTAATCTGCCATATAGGCCCCTATATACCGCCTCCTCATGCTGCTGCCAGGTCCAGAGTCTGTCATGGGCCCCCTGTACGGCCTCCCATGCTGCTGCTGCTGTCTCCATCGCCACACTCTGCCATGTGCCACTTTCAGGTCTCCTCACACACTGCTGGTGTGTAGAATTTTTTGACATAGGGTGCTGGCAGATTATGGGCCTCCCATAGCTGCTGCCAGGCCCCTAATCTGCCATAGGCCCCTATATATACCGCCGCCTCCTCATGCTGCTGCCAGGTCCAGAGTCTGTCATGGGTCCCTGTACGGCCTCCCATTGCTGCTGTCTCCATCGCCACACTCTGCCATGTGCCACTTTCAGGTCTCCTCACACACACTGCTGGTGTGTAGAATTTTTTGACATAGGGTGCTGGCAGATTACGGGCCTCCCATAGCTGCTGCCAGGCCCCTAATCTGCCATAGGCCCCTATATACCCCCTCCTCATGCTGCTGCCAGGTCCAAGTCTGTCATGGGTCCCTGTACGGCCTCCCATTGCTGCTGTCTCCATCGCCACACTCTGCCATGTGCCACTTTCAGGTCTCCTCACACTGCTGTGTGTGTAGAATTTTTTGACATAGGGTGCTGGCAGATTACGGGCCTCCCATAGCTGCTGCCAGGCCCCTAATCTGCCATAGGCCCCTATATACCGCCTCCTCATGCTGCTGCCAGGTCCAGAGTCTGTCATGGGTCCCTGTACGGTACGGCCTCCCATTGCTGCTGTCTCCATCGCCACACTCTGCCATGTGCCACTTTCAGGTCTCCTCACACACTGCTGTGTGTAGAATTTTTTGACATAGGGTGCTGGCAGATTATGGGCCTCCCATAGCTGCTGCCAGGCCCCTAATCTGCCATAGGCCCCTATATACCGCCCCTCCTGCTGCTGCCAGGTCCAGAGTCTGTCATGGGTCCCTGTACGGCCTCCCATTGCTGCTGTCTCCATCGCCACACTCTGCTCTGCCATGTGCCACTTTCAGGTCTCCTCACACACTGCTGGTGTGTAGATTTTTTTTGACATAGGGTGCTGGCAGATTACGGGCCTCCCATAGCTGCTGCCAGGCCCCTAATCTGCCATAGGCCCCTATATACCGCCGCCTCCTCATGCTGCTGCCAGGTCCAGAGTCTGTCATGGGTCCCTGTACGGCCTCCCATTGCTGCTGTCTCCATCGCCACACTCTGCCATGTGCCACTTTCAGGTCTCCACACACACACTGCTGTGTGTAGAATTTTTTGACATAGGGTGCTGGCAGATTACGGGCCTCCCATAGCTGCTGCCAGGCCCCTAATCTGCCATAGGCCCCTATATACCGCCTCCTCATGCTGCTGCCAGGTCCAGAGTCTGTCATGGGTCCCTGTACGGCCTCCCATTGCTGCTGTCTCCATCGCCACACTCTGCCATGTGCCACTTTCAGGTCTCCTCACACACTGCTGGTGTGTAGATTTTTTTGACATAGGGTGCTGGCAGATTATGGGCCTCCCATAGCTGCTGCCAGGCCCCTAATCTGCCCATAGGCCCCTATATACCGCCTCCTCATGCTGCTGCCAGGTCCAGAGTCTGTCATGGGTCCCTGTACGGCCTCCCATTGCTGCTGTCTCCATCGCCACACTCTGCCATGTGCCACTTTCAGGTCTCCTCACACTGCTGGTGTGTAGAATTTTTTGACATAGGGTGCTGGCAGATTACGGGCCTCCCATAGCTGCTGCCAGGCCCCTAATCTGCCATAGGCCCCTATATATATACCGCCTCCTCATGCTGCTGCCAGGTCCAGAGTCTGTCATGGGTCCCTGTACGGCCTCCCATTGCTGCTGTCTCCATCGCCACACTCTGCCATGTGCCACTTTCAGGTCTCCTCACACACTGCTGGTGTGTAGAATTTTTTGACATAGGGTGCTGGCAGATTTACGGGCCTCCCATAGCTGCTGCCAGCCCCCCTAATCTGCCATAGCCCCTATATATATACCGCCTCCTCATGCTGCTGCCAGGTCCAGAGTCTGTCATGGGTCCCTGTACGGCCTCCCATTGCTGCTGTCTCCATCGCCACACTCTGCCATGTGCCACTTTCAGGTCTCTCTCACACTGCTGCTGTGTGTGTAGAATTTTTTGACATAGGGTGCTGGCAGATTACGGGGCCTCCCATAGCTGCTGCCAGGCCCCTAATCTGCCAGGCCCCTATATACCGCCTCCTCATGCTGCTGCCAGGTCCAGAGTCTGTCATGGGTCCCTGTGTACGGCCTCCCATTGCTGCTGTCTCCATCGCCACACTCTGCCATGTGCCACTTTCAGGTCTCTCACACACTGCTGGTGTGTAGAATTTTTTGACATAGGGTGCTGGCAGATTACGGGCCTCCCATAGCTGCTGCCAGGCCCCTAATCTGCCATAGGGCCCCTATATACCGCCTCCTCATGCTGCTGCCAGGTCCAGAGTCTGTCATGGGTCCCTGTACGGCCTCCCATTGCTGCTGTCTCCATCGCCACACTCTGCCATGTGCCACTTTCAGGTCTCACACACACACTGCTGGTGTGTAGAATTTTTTGACATAGGGTGCTGGCAGATTACGGGCCTCCCATAGCTGCTGCCAGGCCCCTAATCTGCCATAGGCCCCCCTATATACCCGCCTCCTCATGCTGCCAGGTCCAGAGTCTGTCATGGGTCCCTGTACGGCCTCCCATTGCTGCTGTCTCCATCGCCACACTCTGCCATGTGCCACTTTCAGGTCTCCTCACACACTGCTGGTGTGTTGAATTTTTTGACATAGGGTGCTGGCAGATTTATGGGCCTCCTATAGCTGCTGCCAGGCCCCTAATCTGCCCATAGGCCCCTATATACCGCCTCCTCATGCTGCTGCCAGGTCCAGAGTCTCTCATGGGTCCCTGTACGGCCTCCCATTTGCTGCTGTCTCCTCGCCACACTCTGCCTGCCACTTTGTCTCCTCACACACTTCTGGTGTCCTCACACACTTTTTTTTTTGACATAGGGTGCTGGCAGATTATGGGGCCTCCTATAGCTGCTGCCAGGCCCCTAATCTGCCATAGGCCCCTATATACCGCCTCCTCATGCTGCTGCCAGGTCCAGAGTCTGTCATGGGTCCCTGTACGGCCTCCCATTGCTGCTGTCTCCATCGCCACACTCTGCCATGTGCCACTTTCAGGTCTCCTCACACACTGCTGGTGTGTTGAATTTTTTGACATAGGGTGCTGGCAGATTACGGGCCTCCCATAGCTGCTGCCAGGCCCCTAATCTGCCATGGGCCCCCTATACCGACTCCTCATGCTGTGACGTTGCAACAAGGTGGAATTCAACCCTACATATGTTAGACCGCCTTTACGAACAGCAAAAGGCCATCACAGATTTCCTGATGTTAAAAGCGGATAAAGGTATTCCCTGTGTAACTTAGATGTCAGCCATTGGCAGCTCATGCGTGACACCTGCGCTTGCTCAGGCCCTTTGAGGAGGCCACGCTATTCGTGAGTCGGCAGGACTATGGGATGAACGACGTCATTCCTCTGTTGCACGTCCTGGAACAAATGCTGTTAACAATGGCTGGTCAGGGTGCGGTAGACGTGGCGCACAGATCTCAACGCCACATGACCCCCCTGGGGGGGCAGGACAGGAAGAAGAGGAGGAGGTAGAGGAGGACATTGGTGCTCAGGAATTATTGAGTGAAATGGGTGGTTTTTCCACTCAGCGGACAGGAGTGGAGGAGCAGGAGCATCTGGGTAGAGGAGGAGGAGGAGGAGGAGACAGAGGACCCAGACGCACCGTGGCAGTATGCTGTGGAGATGGAGGCAGGGAGTCCCTCGCATTCCTTGGCACAAATGGCCCATAGCATGCTCGGTTGCTTGCGTGCGTAGCGACAGCCGAATAATAACCATCAGACAGAGGGATGACTTTTGGCTGTCCACCTTGTTGGACCCTCGCTACCGTTCAAAAAAATGGTGGCCTTTTTCACACCTGCTGAGAGGGAGGCCAAAATAACGTACTATAAAAACCACCTATGTAGTCAGCTGGTCTCTGCCTGTCTGCGCCAACGTCCATCCTCAGACACTGTGGGCCCTGTGCGCTCGCGTTCCGCTGCCATGGCAGCAGGGGGGAGGGGTGGGGTGGTAGGAGCAGTGGCAGCTCCACCAGCAGCGGCTGCCTCAGTCTGCAGTCGATGATGAGTAGCTTTCTTCACCAGCGCAGTGAGGAAACTACTAACCAGCAGCAGCAGCAGCAGCAGCAGCAGCATCAGGTGGACCTGGAGCAGGACCTCAAACAACAGGCTTAGGCCTACTTGGACAGCACCCTGCCAACCGAGGTAGACAATCCCCTTGACTACTGGGCAACGAAACTTGACCTTTGGCCCCAACTAGCTGAATTTGCCCTTGAAAGGCTGTCATGCCCGGCCAGTAGCGTGGCATCGGAGCGCGTGTTTAGTGCGGCAGGAGGTATTGCAACTCCGCGGAGGACACGACTGTCCACCCAAAGTGTGGAGAGACTGACGTTTGTGAAAATGAATCAGGCGTGGATTAGTCTGGATTTCAAACCACCAGTTCCTGACACAACTGACTAAATCCGCCATGAATCATGCCCCAAACATGTGCCACTTTCAGGTCTCCTCACACTGCTGGTGTGTTCCATTTTTTGTCATAGGGTGCTGGCAGATTACGGGCCTCCCATAGCTGCTGCCAGGCCCCTAATCTGCCATGGGCCCCTATATACCGCCTCCTCATGCTGCTGCCAAGTCCAGAGTCTCTCATGGGTCCCTGTACGGCCTCCCATTGCTGCTGCTGTCTCCATCGCCACACTCTGCCATGTGCCACTTTCAGGTCTCCTCACACTGCTGGTGTATTCCATTTTTTGTCATAGGGTGCTGGCAGATTACGGGCCTCCCATAGCTGCTGCCAGGCCCCTAATCTGCCATGGGCCCCTATATACCCTCCTCATGCTGCTGCCAGGTCCAGAGTGTGTCATGGGTCCCTGTACGGCCTCCCATTGCTGCTGTCTCCATCGCCACACTCTGCCATGTGCCACTTTCAGGTCTCCTCACACTGCTGGTGGGTTCCATTTTTTGTCATAGGGTGCTGGCAGATTACGGGCCTCCCATAGCTGCTGCCAGGCCCCTAATCTGCCATGGGCCCCCGTACCGACTCCTCATGCTGCTGCCAGGCCCGTAATCTGTCATGGGCCCCTGTTGTCGCTTGTTGGCATATTCCGCTCGTTCAGATGCTCCTTCTCCTGCTACTCCTCTTCACGGATTCCGTCAGCAGTCTTTCTTGGAATCCGTTTCCAAGAGACAACAGTTTGCGAGCACGCACCCAGACGGTGCAGAAACTGAACGTCCTCCTGTCCAAGTTGCTGCTGCCAGGCTTGTAATCTGTCATGCGCCCCTGTACCGCCTCCTCATGCTGCTGCAGGTCCAGAGTGTGTCATGGGCCCCCGTACCGACTCCAAATGCTGCTGCCAGGCCCGTAATCTGTCATGGGCCCCTGTACCGCCTCCCCATGCTGCTGCCAGGTCCAGATTGTGTCATGGGTCCCTGTACGGCCTCCCATTGCTGCTGCCAGGCCTGTAATCTGCCATGGGCCCCCCTACCGACTCCTCATGCTGCTGCCAGGCCCGTAATCTGCCATGGGCCCCTGTACCGCCTCCTCATGCTGCTGCCAGGTCCAGAGTGTGTCATGGGTCCCTGTACGGCCTCCCATTGCTGCTGTCTCTATCGCCACACTCTGCCATGTGCCACTTTCAGGTCTCCTCACACTGCTGGTGGTTTCCATTTTTGTCATAGGGTGCTGCATGGCCTCCCATTGCTGCTGCCTCCACCGCCACACTGTGGCTCCACACTCTGGTTTTGGCCCCGTGACTGGCCAAATGAGTGAAGTGTGCGGTGATTCTAGATCGACGGCACTCATCTGCATGTCATACTGCCTGACAGTATTATTTCTCTTCCCCAGCAGACTCCAAGGGCATTTAAATTAAAGGTACAGTGTTCAGCACTAATAAGCAACCTACCTAGCTTGTGAATGAGCAATGCAGCACATGGATGCAGTCACCACTCCTCCTATAGTCATGTCCACACAGTACAGCATAGTGCAAACCATTAAATCCTTAACTAACTCGGAGTGCTGGCCCTCTGCCAATGTCAATACTGCGGTGCAAGGGATTCCAGATTTAAAAACAGCTTAAGAAATATATGCGAGTTCAGTGTGAAATACGTAGATCTACTGTTTTTAGAGTAAATATGTTTTGATTTCTATCTTAAGCTCGACTTTAATTCTTAGTTCTATTTTATTGTAGGGAAATTGTGTTTCTGTGAGCACCAGTTCGTTGTCACTAACAGCAAGACTGAAGCATGCAAATAACACCTACGCCAGCAAAGGACTGGCTGGAAATGCTACCATTTTGTTTGACAGCTGCTGGGCAAACTACACCGATCTTGTTCTTGAACTACCAGGTAGGAACAACATTTCACATCTCTGCTTCTGTGTGCATCTAAAGGGCATGTAAGTGATTCTAAAGCAGCCCTGTCATAAAATAAGCCCAGCTCCTTAAACAAAATTTGATTCAGTAATTGACATTTGTTGAGCTGGCAGGGCCACCCGTGGTTGGAATTTGGTCTCAATAGGCTGACATTCTAAGCCTCATTCACAATGGGCATACTGGACAGTACACCCATGTGAAGGCTATCTTCACCCATACATACAGACAGTCTGTATTCTGGTCCATGCATGGGACCCACACAGATGTATACTCTGGGACGAGCTTGGAGCTCCATGCAGGTCCATGCAGCTCACCTCCTGTCATTGATATCCACAGGCTGCCTGTAACACCTGTTTCAATCCTGTGCAGGTGAAGATGGCCTTTACATGGGTGTGCAGATTGTACACATGTGAATAAAGCCAAAGGTTTTTGGCCTTAACACTGCTCTGTTGCAGAACACTTTGTGAATGTCAGTTTTCTATGCACCACACTGAGCACTGTGGTTCCTCCTACAAACCACCAGGACACATCAGAGGTAATTAATCTCATATTAATCTCATCTCCTATGAAGTGTGGCCGATGCTTCTGTAAATTCCCTGTGTAGCTTACTCCATATAGAGCCATCTGTTCCAACTCCTTTAGTGACCAGTTGCTGTTCTTAGTAATCAAAGCGGAATTATACTCACTTTCTATCCAGCGCTCCAGCATCCTAAAGCTTCCCACCGGCTGCTTTCATCTTCAGCCGGATTGGCTTCTGAGTACTGATCTTCTGCCATTTTTATTGTCTCGGCATCACTCCCATACATGCATGGGAGTTCATCTCGGCACTGTTGAAACTGCATAGTGTATGAGGCATAAAGGCAGGTAAGAAACTGTAATGTATAAGAGCCATAGGGGTAGATTTACGTATACTTATCTGGTGCGGCTGTGCATAGTAGCCAATCAGCTTCTAACTTCAGCTGGTTCAATTAGTCTTTGACAGAAAAACCTGGAAGCTGTTTCTGCACCATATTTTGCACTCTCCAATTTTAGTAAATCAACCCCATAGTATGTCTCTTCTGTGCTAAAAAACCCTGCCTGTATGTCAATTTTTTTGTTTTGTTTTTTGTCAAAGTTCCACTTTAATCTTTACTAACTCCCACTATTAAAAATCTCCTGTACAGCCCAAAACTAATCTGAATACCAACAAGTGGTTAAACCTTTCAGTAGTCTTCATAAGGCACTTTTCTGGTTGTAATGACTACTGTGTTTTTTATATCAAAGTATTTCCAACACTTTTTCTTTATTTGCACCTGCTGTGCTCTAAAATTTTTCTCCTGTTCCTGAATATGTCTGTTAATAACATCTAAAACATATCTCTCAATCCTCTCAATGGGTGTTAAATAGAAATCCTCCCAAAATTTTGGTACAGAAAGGATAGTAGGTCTTTTAGAGCCACTTAGGAATCCACAGTTTTGCATTCCTGTGCGATTAATGCTATGCCATTTTCAGGTCATTCATTTGAATGGTCTAAAATTTCACTGGATCTTAACAAAGTAGTGCACGCACTAGTTTTCAAAAATGCATCACACCAAATCACATGGTTTGCTATGATTAAAGCCCACAAAGGTTGAAACGCATAAGAAGTTTTGTGTATTGGATCTTTTCTCCTGATGGACCTAATAAAGAGCTTTGGACACCATGTTGCCAACCTTTTTCTAACTGGATGCAGTACCTTGTGATCTGGTGCAGGCAAATGCACTGTGTTTGTGATCTGAGTTTGAGGTGTCATTACAAATGTATAGACACCCACAGAAGATCGCACATCCAGTGTGTTTTAAATGTGTAGTGGGAAAAGTGCATTGAACGTGCCTTTCCCGCACCACCTTCTGGTGTGAACCACCACGTGCATGCTGATAGGCAGGGAAATACAGCTATGGCAGAAGAGACCAAGGGCCAGTTCACACCAGAACAAGGCACCCATGCAGAGCTCAGCATACACTTATGGAACTCTGTGCCATGATGATGTGACTCCCATGTGCATGTATAAGATTGACATCAATTGTGGCCCACTCAGCCAAGAGACTGAACAGTCCAAAGCTGGATGGAAGACTATGAGAAGATGGAAACACACGTGGCTGGTGAGAGCGCTGGTGGGGATCACTTGCCAAGTAAACGCGCCATAATGTTTTAATATGCTATGTATACTAACAGCCCCTAGGGGCCCAATTGCAGAGTTTAATTCTGTTTTAAATGGGAATTCCATTTTTTAAATCTGTTAGCCAGCATGGTGTGAAAACAGATTTTGCTGCAATACTCACTCTTAATCCTGAGCTGTCTTCCGCAGTACTTTTTCTTTGCTACTCAATGCTGCCAGTCTCCCCGGTTGAATAACAGCCAGCATCATACAATTCACTACTTATAAGCCCAGGCTGTCATGGACCTGCTTCTTGGGGGGGTGTCAAAATGTAGGCTGGGCCTACAGTACTCACGAACTGAGCAGCACTAACACACCATTGTCGCTCAGTCCAAGAGGAAGGACCGCCCATCGGTGATGAAGTGGAAGAACCTGTGACCTCACCAGACTAGCTGGAATACTTTAGAAAAATTAAATGTATAGGGTTGTTTTTTTTTTTTTTTTTAATACTGGTGGACAGCCCCAGGTAGAATAATTAAAAAAAAGTTTGTCTTCAGCAGATATGAGACCTTAACCAATTTGTCTCCACATAAATGGACACTGCATGTCCTTTGCATTGTGTATATGTATTTAATGTTTTTTTTTTTATAGAGTCACTTTTTTGTCTTGTAATATTTTCTTTTTTCTTCTACAGGTAGTGGATATATGCTGGAATTCGAACTGAACAATGTCTTTGCTCAGACCAGGTCATTCGATGCCAAAACCTTAAATTCAACAACTGTTCCACCAACAACTACTCCATCAGACCCAGGAAATGATGATGGAGACTCAGCCGTGTCCATTTACAGCCCCTTCCAGAAACTGCTGGTACTGGTGGCCACACTGATTACCATAAATCTGTTTATGGGCAGTCTTTAAGATGTATTAAATCACTGGTGAGTTACTTTCCTATCATTACTGTGAGAGCCTAAATTGCCAAAATATTATAGATTAAATATATTTATATATAAATTAAATGTAATAATTGAAATTCTTTAATACTGAATGAGTATGTAGTAGGACAAAAACAACCACTGTTGATACCTTTTGTATCACTAATACAGTATATGAATGCAGAGTAAGCACCAGGTATTAAATGGAGGCACTTAGTGACGATTGGACGTATCTTCAAAAGATGGTGGGGCCCTCCAAAATATAGTGCACTTTTATCCGAAAGCCTTGGCATTGCCTGGTAGTAGTAGTCTACAAGCTCTCACCTTCTTGTTGGTCAACAAGAATAGAAGTAGGAGGTGGTGGCCTAAGGGTCCTTTCACATGTGCACCATCAGTTCAGTCACATTTTTAAATAAATGCCACGCAACAATCCTTCTCCATCTATTTTTCCCTTTTATAATATTGTATCCGCAATCGTAGTAGTCTACTAACGCCAACCAAATGCTTAATGCAATTATTATTATACAGGATTTATATAGCGCCAAC